AGCTGTCACACATGGTACAGATCTGTCTGACCTTTTCAGAGGGCACTACAAGTCCAAAGAAAACATCAACTACTGCCACTGCAGTAACCTGTCATTCAATTCAGGTCACTTGTGACCAACAAAGGCTTCAAAACAACTACAGACCCACATAAAAGGGTCAAACATACCCTTACACCATTCGGCCACTGTAAACACAGCCTGTTCCTTGGACCTTTTTCCAATAAACAAGGCTACAAACAACCTAGTTCTCTAGGTTCTGATCAGTCCAAACAGATTTTGAAGGCTTTCAACCCAGAAATACCAACAGCACAAAAGAAAAAAGGTAACCAACCTCCGATGGAGAGCTTCAGTTGACCATCCACTTCTGAAGTTGTTTTTTTTCTTGAAAAACAGTCAAGTTCTGCGCAGAGGAAGAAGGACTGAAGTGTTCTCAGGCCTAGGTCGAATCTGTGTTCTCCATTTTCAGCCCAGAAAGAAGAAAGAAAAAAAATGAGGTCACGAACAGAGAGGAGCAGGGTAAGAGATTTAGAGAGCAACGTCCTGCTCTGATACCATGTTTGTCCTGTAGCTACAGTACGAACCAGGAGAAGAGCAGTAGAAGAAGAAGAAGAAGAAGAAGAAGAGAACAGTCGAACATGATAGCCTMAACCCTATCAGTCGACCCTAATATGGATTAGCCTCTAATTAGTAGTACAAAGACTAAACTGCCCCCACTTAAGTATGGGACAGGAAGTCTCTATTAAAACTGCCACATAAGCACATAACAGAAATAAAATGACTAATCTACCCTTATTCGGCTAGCTCTAACAGTTATAATGGAGGGAATGAGGGAGATGATATGATTTGGAAAATCCAAGCATATTCTAGTATCTAGTCAATAAATTGTTCCCTTTGAAGTACTGAGTGTATCAAAATTTAATGATATAATCCCTTCTCTAGGAAATGCAAGTAAAATTTGATCCTTGCATAAGTCCTACAGTTCACTCAATTATTGTGGTTACTGGCACTTGGATTAGGAATCAGCTCACTTTAGTGGTTCTAGGAAACAATATTTAATTATATATTGCATATTTGGTGGGGACACTCCTTTTTCTTTTCGGTTTTTATTGGTATTTTTCATTCATTTGATGTGGTTCTTGGCATTTTTATTAGTTTGAATTTCAGAAGCAGAAGCATATTTGTTTCTGTTCCTCACTCTATTCTTTTTTTCTATTTGATCAGGTTGAAGAATGAGAGGATTTTAGGAAATCATTGTAGTTTCCATCTAAAATGCTATATGGCATCTCTAATTTGTCTTTTCAGCTTATGTGGTAACCTTTTACATATCAGCTACTAAGTGACTGAATCCTTTTAGACATTATGCATGTCTGGCCCTGTGGTACTTGTTGGTAATGCTGCAGGAGCACTTTCATGTGCAGAAAGGACTAGATCTCTTGATGCTATTTCGTTAGATGACAAAACCAATGGGAAAGTACCTCATTCATCTTTTGACACCACTGTCTTCAGAATCGGTGAGTTTTTACTTCCCAATGGAGAATCTTATTCTGGATCCTTGCAGGGTAATATGCCAGAAGGCTCAGGGGAGTATGTGTGGTCAGATGGTTGCATATATGAGGGTGAGTGGAGAAGGGGGGTGGGGAATGGAAATGGAAAGATCCAATGGCCTTCTGGTGCCATTTATGAGGGTGAATTTTCTGGTGGTTATATGCATGGTATGGGAACATACTCTGGACCAGATAAAATTGTCTACAAGGGACGCTGGCGGTTGAACCTTAAACATGGGTTAGGATGTCAGACTTATCCAAATGGAGATGTCTATGAAGGTTTCTGGATCCAGGGAACTATAGAAGGACCTGGTAAATATGTCTGGGCTAATGGAAATGTTTATCTGGGTAACATGAAAGGGGGGAAAATGTCTGGAAAAGGAACTCTTACCTGGACAAATGGGGACTCATTTGAAGGAAATTGGTTGGATGGTATGATGCATGGATTTGGAATGTATACGTGGATAAATGGTGGTCGCTACGTTGGAACTTGGACCAAGGGCTTGAAGGATGGAACAGGAACCTTCTATCCAAAGGGTAGTAGGTTTCCAGCTGTACAAGAGCTCTACCTTAATGCTCTGAGAAAGAGAGGGTTATTACCAGATTTGAGAAAGCAAAACCATGGCTCACACATTTACCATGCTTCTTCTGTTGATATGGGGGTTGTCAAAGTAGACACAAACCATGGATCATGGCGTGGTTCATCTAATAAAATCTCTAAAGGAAATATTCTAAGTTTGGGCCAATCTCACTCCAAAAATTATTACTTGGAAAGACGGTGGAGCCTTGAGGTATCTATTGAAAAAGTGATTGGACATGATTTATCATTGAATTCAGGAGGATCTGTTTTAGAAGGTGATGAGAAAGAGAGTGAAATGAATGCTCCAGTCCTAGAGCGGGAATATATGCAAGGAGTTCTCATCAGTGAGGTTGTCTTAAATAATTTTTTGTCATCATCCAGAAGGATAAGAAGGAGGCAGAAAAAACTTGCAAAGGAGGTCAAACAGCCTGGTGAGGCAATCATTAAAGGTCACAGGAGTTATGATCTGATGCTCAGTTTGCAGCTTGGAATCAGGTGCTTTCACTTTCCTGATCTTTATTACTCTTTGACTGTTTTGCATTTCCTTCCACTATTCCAGTGGTGTTAGCTTCATGGTGAACCAAGACATCTGGCTTTACACTGGCTAACCACAGCCTTTTAACTTTACAATTTAAGAATCATTTTAATGTAAGCAACTATGCCAATTGACGTTGCCCTTCTTTTACTAAGTTTTTTAAATCAAGAAAGGCACAGGAAATCGAAGGATTAGACTATTAGAGATGTAGAATTTGAAAAAACAAAAAGAAGAAACATGTCCTAATAGGCCTTAATTCTTTTTCTTTTTTGTTGGTAGAGATAGAAAAAAGAAACTATTAACAAGTCATTAAAATCAGTAAATAGACGTTATGCATGAGTTACTAGTAACTTCATTTGCCTATTTAGGCACACAAATCCATCTTAAAATATTTCCCTGCTTCAGTTCAAAGTTTAAAACTTGAAGTAAATTGTATTTCTTACTGCACTACTCATCTGTGATTCTCATCTTTCTCAGTTGTTTGTTGGTTTTAGTCGCTTTTGAATTTGAATATCATTAGGGGTCTAACCCAATTGGGCCTGGGTTGGGCTTTTTTTTTTTTTTTTTTTTTTTGACCTGGCCCTATGCATGTCACTCCATCAAATTAGGTACCCTATTTGCAACCCTAAATATCATAGCTTCCTTTGCATTGTTGTTTTGAAGAAGAATCATGTAGTGCATATATTCATTCATATTATTTGGAGAATAAATTCTTTATAAACATGATTTGGTATCATTTGATTTTCCATAGATATATTTATGTTGAAAATGTATCAGTATATGGTTAGATACACTGTTGGGAAAATAACACCAATACAAAGACGAGAAGTTCGGACATCAGACTTTGGTCCACGAGCAAGCTTTTGGATGAGCTTTCCTAAAGAAGGATCTCAATTAACACCCCCTCACCGATCAGAAGATTTTAAGTGGAAAGATTATTGTCCAATGGTTTTCAGGTTAGTAGTTTTCTTCCATTTTTTCATAATAGTGGAAACAAAAGTATAGGTAGTGGACCATGATTTGCTTTGTTGCAATTATTTGGCCTGGTCAAAAGATTCTGATTAATGTTGCAATTTTTTCCTTTATAGTTTATGTTGGCTAGTTGTATTATGATCCCTATTTTTGAGTTTATTGTGAGTAGTTTCTTCATATTTTGCTGTTTTACAGGACTTAGTTTCAGAAGTAGTGGTGTTCCCTCTAATTATGTTTTAAATCTTGATATTCCATTCTTACCTGTATATCAATAGAGGACGATTCCTAAGATTCATTAAGGTTCCCACTAACTAGATTTTTTGTTATACTATTGATATAAGAAAAGTACACCAAAGTGCCAAGTCTTAGCTTATTCCCAATCAATTTTAAAATTAACTTTTGGAGTTCTCTGCTGATATATCATAGCTATTACTGAATCAATATCTATTTCTATCTAGGACTGTCAACAGGCTCTGAAAGTCCAATACCAGATCCGACATCCAATCTGATTAAAATCAGAGTCCAATATTTTTTATAATATAATATTGATCTAATATATAAAATTTATATAATATAATTATATATAAATATAACAATATGTGGTTTTATATACTATATATAAATTTATATATAATAACTTCAATATTTTATATTTATAACTTTATATTAATTTATTAAATATATAAGTTAAAAAGTAATTTTTTTATTTCTTTATTTATTATGAAAAACATGAAGCAAAGTCGGATTAAATCTGAATCCAATCCACGATTCCCAAATCTGATTGGATTCAGATTTAAGATTCCATTAGTTAGATCAGATTCGGATGTTGCTGGATCTGACCAAATTATAGCCCTATTTCTATCCTAGGGTTCATAAACATGGTGGTGTTAGAAGGAACATGTGATTACAGATGGATGTTTGTGATTTCCCTAATAGCAACTTGGTTGCAGCCTCATGCTATCTATTTTATATCATGTCTATAGGCATTACAGCATGGAGTTGCGTTATTGCAAGATTACTTTTCTCAATCATTTGTAAAGATTGTTTTGAGTGGCAAACATAAGAGATGTACACGTCCTATCATTTCCGCCTTTATCTTTTTAAAAACTTGATTGAATTTGTTGGACTTGTGTAAATTATAAGGTTCAACTCTCACTCTGACTTTTAAAATTATTTTGTTCTTTTTGGTAGTTATTTCTTGAATCATATTACTGTATTCTGAATCAAGGTTTTTGGTAACCCTGTATTTTAGATGGCCGGTTAAAGCCATGCTTAGGTATTGTCTTATCTTTGTAGGTCTAATGAAAATCAAAGGCTTATGGTGTCTTCCTCTAAAAAACTAAATAGTGGAATTTATGGGTGATGGTTCATGTACTCTACCCAGTGGTTTGATGTTTATTGGAATTCAAATTATTTCATTTGTTTCTTCCATATATCCAGTCTTGCTGCTTTATTTGGATGCAAAGTTTCTATTTATGATGCATCATTTTTAGAAAACAGTTTTCTTAAATATCTGCTTTATCTATGTGTTGAAGGTGAAGAAATGCCTTTCTGCTTGAAACTCTATGTGTTTTTTGTTAACAGCTGTTATTTTTCCTATGTATAGTACTGCAGGGGTACTATTGTACTTTTACTCTTTTTTATTTTAGTTGCTGTCACCCTAGTAGATATATTAAAAAAGCTGCGCCACCAGCAGTATCTTTTGCTCTCAGTTCTCTCTTCTCTCTTCTCTCTCTCTTTTCTCTCTTCTTCCATTCTTCTCTCCTGCATAACATGGTATCAGAGTGGGACTATCAAATCTGAAAGGAGAAGTCGAGTGAACAGTTTTTTTCTTCTTCGCACCAGATTTCCAGATCTTCCGCCCTCATCTGCTGTTCGGCTGATTGAAGAYCTCACACACTGAAGTAACTTTTCTCTCTCTCTCTCTCTTACCTTTTTTTCTGGTCGTGTGCCAGGGCAGAACCTATACTAGGTCTGCCGATTGGATGTGAGGTGATCAGCACCTCTTTCTTTCCTTTTTTGTGGGGTCGACTGATCCCTGTGAAACTGTAGGTCGTGAGGACCTTTTTGTGTGCTGCAACAGAAACTTTTATGGTGAACTAAGGGTCAGAAAGTGACCAATACCTCTTGTGTGCTGCAACAACAGCTTTTATGGTGAACTGAAGGTCAGAAAGTGACCAGTACTTGCTGTAACAGCAGTCCTGTTGATGCGTAGGTCAAGAGATGACCTGTGTGCACTATGGCAACACTTGTGTTGAACTTGTAAGTCAAGGGATGACCTGTTAGTGCTGTAACAACACCTGTGTTTTTACAAAAGGAGGTGTGTTTCTGAAGAAATTTTTTTTTTCGTTCTCCCTCAGTGTTGAATTTCTTTAAGGCTGCGTACCCCATTTAAGAGTTGTTTTTTAATCTGAAATCATGAGTGGTGAAGATTCTGCTACATCCGGTGTTTCCTCAATGCTGAATGGAATGAGTRGGGGTGTGGACCTATCCTTTCCCATGGCTGTTATTCCTCTTGATGGTTTAAATTATTTAGAGTGGTCAAGAGGGATCAAGCTGTACATCACTGCAAGGGGAAAGATAGGTTATATCAATGGGAGAATCAAAGAACCATATTCTGAGAGTGCTGAATATGATAGATGGAACCAGGAAAACAGCATGGTCATGTCTTGGCTTTTGGTTTCTATGCAACTTCAAATAAGAAGGAATTTCATGTGGGTTGAAACGGCAAATGAGATCTGGGAACAAGCAAATTCAACATATTCGGAACTATGACACTATGCAAAAATCTACCAGCTACAGGCAGAATCGTCTACTTGTAAACAGGGGGAGAGGTGTCTATCTATGTACTACTCAGACTTGACCTCTGTCTGGAAGGAGTTAGATCATTATCAAAGCGTGGACTGGAAGTGTGATGAAGATGCAAAACTGTACAAAAAACTCGTCTCCCAATAGAGAGTGTTTGCTTTCTTACATTGTTTGAACCCTACATATGAATCTATCAGAGTCCAGATCCTAGGTAGTGTTAGAATGTTAGAGTTATGTTCGGCTGATAAGTGTTCTTATTAGCCCATTCTTATGTTTAACTTATCTTGTAACTGGGCTTGTGTTAATGGGCCTAATCCTGTTTAATGATTTAAGTCATCTGGGTGTCCCATCACTAATCAGGGGCATCCCAGTAATTTCTTGTACCTTGTACTATATTC